GACCGCTGCTCTGGCAGCAACCTCCTTCCAACGCTCGGTCTTGACAATAACCCGGGCGACGCCGTTAACACGGCAAGCACGGGCTCAGACGCTCGCGTGCTGAGAGCCCGCGTCCGAAGACAGACCCCTTGAGGGAAAGACAGAGAGGAAAGAAAGGCAGCCCGGAGCAGAAAACTCCCAGGGCAGAGCAGCACCGCAGCGTCCCGGAGACAGCATCCTCCTCGCCCGTCAGCTGAAGCACAAATCGCAAGAAATAATAAAGCCAAGGGAGTTTCACAGACTAATTGGGTGTGAAGGAAAAAGCATTTCCTTCTAGTAGGTCCTAAATATCATCTTCCCTTTCCACCGGCTGCTCTGCTCGCTCCTGGGACAACCCCTGCTGTCCTCCTCCTCCGGGCTGTCCAGCCCCGTCGCCGCCCTGCTCTCCCAGACCTGCCCTCAGCAGTTCTGCTGCCTGTTTTGAAGCTCTAGTATATGTCTTTTATTAAGTTAGGGCTACCAGTATTGCACACTCCAGCCAGATAAAAATGTCCCACTGAGTGACAGAAGAGCATTGTCACGTTATTGGCATTACTTTCGATCTCATTTTCTACATTCTGATGCTTTGTTCTGTATTTTAACAGGTGATTCCTCATACAAGAGCGGGGATTTTTCATGGCCGTGCTGACAAGGAGCCTGTGGGACTGCAGTTAATTTTAAAATCCAGTAACACGCAGAAGGTCTTCCTTGCAGTATGCATTGCCTGTACTTATCGACAATGTATTTCATCAACCTTCGAAGTCTTCCAGTTTACTCTAGTATAAAACCAACTAAATCAGGGATCAGCCGTGCAGAGGAGCCACGCCAGGGAGGCGCAAAGACCAGCCCCGGACGGTGTGCAGTTGCTCCCGAATCCCAGGCCGTCCTGACTACAAACTTGGAGAAAGCTGGGAGCCGCTGCCTGGTCGAGGCAACGTGCGACCGGTCCCGTGCTCCCTGCTAGCAAGCGTCCCCGCAAGGCAGCAGCGCTGCCTCCCACCGAGCCAAGGGCTAAGCAGGAACCAGGAGACGTGCCAATGCCAAGATTAACCTCTAACTTGGGTAAAAATACAGACTGGCACGCCTCATTGAAAGGTTGCCAACCTAACTTGAATAACAGTGTGATTTTTTTGCTATATTATTGTCATTTCGCTATTCATTTTTATTGCAGATAATTTCTTCTCTCTTAGATAATTTAAAGTTCATGACATTTCTCTGGATCATACCCATAACTGCTTATTTTCCATATTAACCTCATACGAGGGGAAACCTACTGAAAGCTCTCAAAACCCTCGAACGTTAACTCTGTCAGTCAGCGGCCTGCTTTACTTTGCTATTGCGCTGATCTATTTTCTCACTGCCATCTCCTGTCTGGCCTTTCCTCCTCATCTGCCATTCAACCTGCTGTTCCCAGCCTTGTACTACCATAAAGCTCAAAAAGTTGTATGGGGAAAAAAAACCCCACTCTAATGCACTATTTGTATATCATTGTAACATTTATAATGTTGTATTTTAACGTTTTGGACTGCTGAAACCAAAATCCCCTTCTAATAAAGTCCCATCAGAGTTTAAGACCCTTCTCCCCCATTCTCAGCCACTACCACCTAAAAACAAATATGCTGTGTAACCACTTCAACACCTGCCATCGCATTATTCGCTCTGCTCAGCGGGATACATTTTCTCTTCCCAAACCTGTATTTGTCTTGCCAGTTTAGTGTAAGAGGTCAGAAAGGAATTGTCCTTCAGGCTGCTTTTTATTGTGCCTATTGTGCTGGGACATTCACCATGGCTGAAGACTTCAGATACTGCAAGAACCTAAATTCCTTTGGTAAAAGCCCGTCAGACAAGAAAGCTTTACTTTGCTCATGGTGGCACATGCTGTCTCCCCTAAATCCAGATTCCCCTTTCCAGGGGTTTCTTTACTCTCAGGTAGCTTCCTAGACCTGCTCCATATAGCTACACTATTTTACAGATGATCTCCTCTTCTTCCAAAGGTCCTGTCTTGTGCAGGTCTGGTAGGATTCTTTGAGCAGATCCCATATTTTCCTTCAGGAACTTTTTGCTTTTGATTTTTCAGAGCTTTTTGATGATTTTTGTTATCTTTTTGAAATTCCCCTTCTAAAGTTGCACTTTAGAAAACACTGCAAGTGTTTTCAGCATCTCTCCTTCCTCAAGATGTTGAGTCTAGTAAAACTGTTGTCATTCACTATTCCACTTTTTCTAAAATGCATTTTTTTCTGGAACTCTGTATATAGTACATGCAACATGAACACAACGTGCAAACAAACGCAGTGCAGCCTTTCCTCTCATGTACTCTGGAGGCAGGTATTCCCTGGGATGGTCATGTAAGGCAACACGAGCCACCAATCTGCAGATCTTGTGGACCAGGACATTCAACCACTGGGCACACACCATAAATCTCATTAAAGGGAAGTAGCTGTCCTTGTGACCAGTGTCCTCTGTCCCCCAGAGCTGGATTCTACCAACAGTCCTGCATCTGTGCCCTCAGGCTTTGGGATTTGTCACTGCTCCAGCTCTTCTGTATCGCTTCATCCATTCAAACTTCATCTCAGAGTCCATAAAACCTTCCTGAATACTGCTGCACTCTTCCTGGATCTAATCTTCTCCTCTACATCTCAAATCAGACTTCAGGCTAGGCTGTTGTTTCTCCTTGTTCTACTAAGTTTCAGTAATGCCCACCATATCAAGGCTTTCCTCCACTGCCAGATGCTCCAGTTCACCACAAACAAACTAGTTCGCCATGAAGGTCCTATAAATTCTGTGGCACTGCAAAAATTCTGCAGTATAGTTTTAAGATGTGAAATTCAATATTTGAACCAATAGAAAATGTAAAAGCCTATCAAAATGTTTTGTTATTTATTCTGGTGGTGAGTTCTGTTTATTTTACAATCTACATGCATGGCTTGCTCACATTGTACTGCTGCAGATTTTTGGTTTTGCTTTGTAAAAATCTCCAGGAAGAAAGCTGGAGATATTGTCATGTGGAATGGCCTTTCAATCCTGGAGGCAGAATAGGCATTTGTACCCTAGCGGAGGTAAGCACTCTGCTGGGTGTCTCAGCTAATTTGACCTAGTCCCATTTTAATTTTGCCCAGCTAAAATAAATATTCCTGAAGCTTCACTGGTATCATAAATTGACAGCCTATATTCTTACGGGAACTTTGAAGCAAATAGAAGAAGCTACTTTAGAGACAAACATGCCTAGCATGGAGGTAATCTCTCTTGAATATTCCTCAGACTCTGTTTTAGTTTATCGAAACTTAAAAGGCACTTGGCCTAGTTACTTCAAACGTGTTTTGTTTTGCATGGAGGACAGCAGCACGTTTTAGAGCAGTTTTGTGGCATGAGTGGTTATTTACATGTTTAAGGTGAGATTCTGTCCTGAAAAAGAAACTGCAGGAACAGGAGTTTCTCCACCAGCTGCACTTCTCCTACGAAGCGCAGGCAGTGGGAAGGGGCTCTGCTCCAGAGTCCAGACGTTCAGCACCCGCAGTCTGCGCTGGGTCACGGTGAGAGCAGAAGAGCTGCTGTGCCACCCGGGCAGGCGAGCTGGGGCAGGGGCGAGAGCCCAGCGGGTAGGGCAGTGGCCCACGGACAAGGTGCAGTACCACGGACCCAAACACAAAGCAGAGCGGTCCATGACCCAGGGATCGCCTGACAAGTCCATAGCCACGAGACAGGTCCCGGGACAAGCCCCTACAACGCAGCTCAGCAAGGACCAAGGGTGAGGTCCTGAGCTTAAAAGCAGCTCTGGAGTGAAGGGGGGAAGCCCCTGGCAAGGCTCCCCACAGCCCTCCTGTCTCAGCCCTTTCCCAGAACCCTGTCCCAGGCTGTGGCTGTGCCACGTCAAGGCTGGCCTTGCACAGAGGAGCCAAACTCTTGGCAAGGGGCAGATCCTGCAGCCACGTGGAGGGGTAAGAGATGAGGGCTTCCAGATGCTGTACGGACAAGTTTTTGGAGCCTACTTTTCTCCTTTAAGTAGGATGGTTGGACCAGATGATCTCCAGACATCCCTTCCAACTTACGTTATTTTATAATTCTGTAATGCCTTTGCAAAGACCCATTATTTCCTGCATAAGGTGTCCAATCTGACAGCTGGCAACTCGTGATCCTCCTCACCTTTCCCCAGGAAGCACTGTCATTCTGATTCTTTTGTTGGTCTTTGATCCCAGAACAAGGAGTTATCTTGGAGCAAAAGATCCCCTACTTACGTTCTTCACTGTCTCATCCCAAAATCAAACATCACACCAAAAATATCAGGCTTGACACTGGTGTTCCTGTACTACTCTCAATGATATCAGCTACGCTGCAAACAGTACAAAAAACACTTTATACACATTGGTGAGCCTAAAAGCATCCAGAGAAGTGGGTGGCCTTTGCACCAGCTACCATCAGGTTCCCCCACACCCCCAAAGAATTATTTTTGAGATACTCCAATGAGGGGATCTA